CGTAATTTATTCAAATACTAGTCTCACGTTTATCGGTGGTGTGATAATTAAGCCATACTAATTTAATCCTAAAACTTTGACGAGATGATTAATCCAAATATGATTTACTAAACTGAGCATAATTGATTTAATTATTTTTTATTCGTATTCATGACATGGATTCACCCAGTCAGAAGCATTTACTACATAATGTCATCAATCCTTATTATGCCTGATTACATTTAATTGATTCTGCGACAGAAGACATCTGTTTGTGCATTCGCTGAGAGTCCAAATTTTTCCAAGTCTCTTGACCAAAGGTTTATCACCTTTATAATCACCTATTCTTGCCTGAAAATCGTGTATATTTTAAAGAATACTGTCAAATAGACTCAGTTTGAAAAAGGTCAGTTTTTCTGCTATTGTATTCTGAAGGTGAAAACGAATAAATGTTTGAATATAAATATAAAATTTCACCGGCAGCACTCAACTGCGCACCAATTTGGTTTTGCTGGACGGCTCACCTACAACCCAACCGAATCTCTCGTTGATGGTGTTTTTAAGCAACTGAATGAGCCACCTTAGTCCGCCTCATGTTATAGTTGGCAAGATATTCGGGATATCGCAATACATTGTGTGGAAGTAATGTGCTACTTCTTAGGTTGCTAAGAATTCTTCGACAATCCATCACCGGCTTCAAATTTACAGAAATTTTCAGCAATCTTATGAGTAGTGTACTATGTTTATAGAATGTATAGAAAAACTCAAAAATCGTACCTGCTGAACCATTTAGCTGCCTGACGCAGCACATTTAGTTGGTTAAAAACATCATAAACGATAGATTTAGCTGGCTTCCGGGTGGATCTAACGTCAAAACCAAATTTTTATGCAAATGAGCGCTGTTCGCTAATTTCGTGCGATTTGGGTTGAAGTAGAACATGAGGATAACGGAAAATGCACCCACCAGATGAGCCCCAAGAAGGATGACACCAGGCGTGGGATGACGAGCAATTTTCACCAACCTTATGAGTGGCACATTGCATTTTAACATTGGCGCGATTCGCTGTTCAGTTGATGAACCTTTCCATCAAGTGTGATGGTGTCTGTTTGGTGAAACAGGCTCGCATACTCTGATATTTTTGGACAACACAAAAGTTCACTGCTGATTGCCATATGGCATGCTCACTGCGAAATTTCGATACGCGACATTATATAATCGAAACACATTGACCTTATCTTGAAAAAAATCTCGGTCTGCTCTTTGTGCATATGAATATAAATAGATAAATATAAATAGCTGAATATAAGTATAAATAGTTCAACTATTTACGCTTTACCTACGTGATTTCAGGATCAACTATTGCCAAAGTTGCATACACAAACATCTGGGATAGATAGGTTTTATACACAATACAATGAGCGTTACTCATTAAAAAAACCGTACGCAGACCATTTGACATTTACAGGTTTCTGAATAACTTTAAATTTTATTCCCCAGTTGACATTTGGATTCTTCCGAACCCCGGGTTTTCGAGCGTTGCCCTTTCACACTAACGGTCTTCCAACGCGAAATCTTGTGTGTTTCACTTTACACTTGCAGCTGGTGTTTAACTCACATAAACAACTGTCTTTATATGTACGAATTTTGTCTACATGCTACCTTTAAAAACAATTAAATAACACTTTCTTTGTGCGTGAACTTTCATCGAATCCATTGACAAGCAACGGTTTTGGAAGGCGGTACGACAGGTTGAGAATAAATGGTTTATTTGACATTACGTCTGACAAGCATTTTGTGGTGTAAAAAATAGTATCAGCCCAAAAATGTCAGTTGAAGGTTCTTGGTTGCTTAAATCTCCAATTTCTAAAACTAAATTCTCAAGAAGCAAGATGATATATTTGCTTTCTGTGATAATTTTTTTCTACTTTGTTACTTTTGTTCCCTTACGAATGATGCCCCGTACCACTCTTGTAACAGGGAACAGTCTGTATGTGCAAAAAATTTATTTAAAAAATTGAAAGACTACCTGTACTTGGTGGTGAATACAATCCATGCTGAATATCCGGGAAGCACCATACAGCAGTTTCATCACTGTTGGGAATAGTCGGCAGTGCAGGTAGTCTCAAGACGGAAACCTTCAGGTAAGTATTTTGACCGTTTGTCATTTCAGCCAAGAGCAATTAAGCTTACGTGGGGTTGTAAATTCTGCAAGATACTTGGGCGCTCCTGGCCGAGCGATCAAGTGTTCAAGCTACTATCAGGGAGATCGCGGACTCCGAGCTTGCTGGAGTTTCGTGGGATGCGTCGTGGTGACGATTCCCAATGAGGATAAAACAATTGCCTTTTTGTTTCTCGGCTCTTCGGCATGGTTTGCCTCATCAAAGAGTTTATATGTAATCAAATAAATAAACAAATATTACGTAATTAAATAAACATCTCAGTTTATTTGCACACTGATGCTGCCATTTCAGTTTCAGAATAAATATGCTATGCAACTGAGTAGTTGGAGCTAATATTTGGACTTCCAAGAGAGGCTGGGAGGCAAAAACTCTGTAAAAACAAAAGTAATCTAAGTCATGAGATGCGCAGGGTTCATTCAGTGACCCAGCTGGGGAAGACGCTAGTCGGCTTCCTAACGGAGGTTTCTGGTTAACATCGGTACCTGTGACGTCCAAGGCATTATAGCGAATTCTGTCACTTTACTTTTTACTAGCTACTTTATTTTACTTTGGAGCGACCATCCTCTGCGATAGAATGAGTTGGTTACATTGATATTCCCTTTCATTTGCCACTCACAAACGGAGTCACTGGTAGGTCTTCACAGATTGAGTTTCAGGTCCTATTCCAGCATCATATACTGTATGCAGATTTGAGACCAGACCCCTCCACAATTGATTGGACGGTGCGACTGCTTTTTAGGGTAGAAGCATCACGCCGGGCAAGTTTTGGAGTTCTGTTTTTCGGGAGACCTGGTAAAGCTTTACAGTCGCTGCTGATGAAGCAGTTGCCTGAGAATTAGGTTGCTGAGCGCCATTCCCCGTTGGATATTTTGCTAAACTGTCGAATACACAGGACACGTCGAAAACATCAAATTTCCGGATGTCTTGTATGCAAAACGGCCAGGTTTCATACCCGTAAGTTAGGACAGGATGTAGTGCTACCTTGAATACACAAGTCTTCATGTGCAGAATAGTTTCACTCTTGAAGTTAAGGTCGTAGTTACCTGCATAAAAACGTTTTTTGACATCCCAACTGGATGAACAATCCCTTCATTATCATGCCGCTGGGTGGGATGACATACCCCAGGTATCGAACCGCAGTTACCACTGCTCTTTCGTCGTCTGCTGTGTGAAAGACGGGTGCTGTTTCAATGCCAAATTCAGAGTAGCGTAAAAAGAGAGATGGCCAACCTTTGACTTGGAAGAGGAATATGAAGGCGATCACGGGTGCTGTCGGTGCTACTCGCCTTCCAGGATGGGGACCGCGTGATCCTCACTGTGCCTGGTTGGAGACACTACAATATATGGCTGCCAACCGATGTCAGTGGCGTTTTTGTTGTCAGATCGCCTGAGGGAATGTCTGGAGGTGTAAGCACCCGGAATGATTGTGGTAAGCTAGCCCTAAGTCTCTTCCCCGTCCACCTTTATTCTTCTCTCTGCAATAGGGCCTGCAAATAAATCATGGTTGTACGGCAGTGAAGCATCGGTGTCAAACACTGACGTCATGCTGTTGATGGTGATGATGATGATGTGAAAGGCGGAGAGTTTGAAACTGGCTTGACTGGGGAGGTATGTTGTCCTACAAGTCCTGGTTGTATGCCTGATTAATTCAGCATGTTAACTGACTCGATCAAGAACGCCTGCTGGATCCTCCATTGACTTTTTTATCACTTGGCAGTTTATCCGTTCGACGGCTCGTTTGCAAACCGGAGACGTCGTAAGGGCGCTGTTTGATGGATTAGTCCTCCAGTTCTGCTAGCGTTTGTATCGCTTTGAAAGAAGAAGCAAACAGAGGTGCACCCAATCAGCTTCTCAGTGCTGGTGGCTCCTAGCACAGTGACGTAACGCTTGTAAGCCAGTTGTCACATTCGACGAAAGACACCAACTATCACCTAATCAACAGCAAATTAACACATCAGAGTTATCAGTATTTTGATGCATACTCGCCGTTCGTTCAGGATTTAAGCTAGACCATTATGCGGTCCAACAAGGCCGAAAGGATGAATCAACTCCGGCTGGCTGGACTTCGAGAACGAACCA